CAATCTCCGCTCACTGCAAGCTCTGCCTCCCAGGTTCACGCCATTCTCCTGCCTCAGCCTCCTGAGTAGCTGGGACTACAGGCACCCACCACAACATCCAGCTAATTTTTTGTATTTTTAGTAGAGACGGGGGTTTCACCGTTTTAGCCAGGATGGTCTTGATCCCCTGACTTCGTGATCCACCCACCTTGGCCTCCCAAAGTGCTGGGATTACAGGCGTGAGCCACCGCACCTGGTCGGCTTAATACCTTTCTAGTACTCAGTGTCAGTTACGATTTATCTTTGGGCTTATGTTGGCTTTTTTTTTTTTTTTTTTTTTTAAGTGAAACTAAGAGGAGAAAGAAATATTTCCTATTCTTATGTCTCTGTTAAAAATCAAAAGAGCAAAGGATATACCAAGAGAGTTATATATTTCAGGAAAAGCAAAAAAGGAAGCATATTTCTTTGGGGAAGGGAAAAATATTCCTAGCTGTGTATCATGCAAATAAGCTATGTTGAAAACATGCAACTTACCACATTATCATGAAACGGCTGACTTGCTTTACTGACCACTCTGGCCTGGCAGGCACTTTACTGGATGGGTAGCTCCCTGGAAAGACGGGGGGCCTCAGCCTCCCTGGCTCTGCACAGTGCATCCCTCTTCCTGGGAGGAGGACAGCCCTGTTTTGTCCAACCCCTCTTAGCCCTCATTTGGAATTATCTCACCCTTCTTTGTATTCAGGGCTTATTTTGAGCAAGTTCAAAACTGCCTTGCAAAGTTCAAGATCATTATGGCAGGCAAAAATGCAGTGAAATAGCACACCACTGTCAGTTAATTACTAAAAATCCTTTAATGGCTGACATTATTATAAATTATATACCCATGATGACAGGGACAATTGGGCTCTCTGTTTTTCTTGCCCTGCATTGGAACCCCAAACAATGCTGTCTTGTTGGGGAGAATGACCTGGATGCACTTGCAGGCAAGTTGGGAGTTTACATGGGCTACCTTTGCTGACCACACAGGCCCTGGTCCTCTGAGGACACCCTGCTCCTGGGTGGGGATGAGGCAGTTGCCTGACAAGGCCCCAGAACCAACCCTCCCTCCATTTCCACCCCCCTTCTCCACTGCTATTGCTACAGAAGTATCTTCTTCTTGAACCTCCCAACTCCCTCTGCTCTGCTCCCTGTTTTTCTGCCGGTCTAGGCCCAGCTCAAAGAGCCCCTCTTCCAGGCAGCCTCTCCTTATTCTCCTTCCCAAAGCTGCAGACTCCTGGTAGGTAGATTCTCTTTTGTCTTTTGTGTCCGGTGTGTAAAGTATACATCTTAAATGTAAACCTTGATGATTTTTTACATACATATATACAATTTAACCTTTTTCCAGATCAAAATGTATATACTATTTAACCTTTTTCCAGATAGAAATGTATATACAATTTAACCTTTTTCCAGATCCAAATGTGCATCCTTTCTTAACTCAAAAATGTTACTGTGTGTAAGAATCCCCTCAGGAGCAGGTAAAAACTGCAACCTCTGGCCTAACCCAGAGATGCTGGTTGAGTGGGCCTGGGATGGCCTAGGAGTCAACAGGTTAGCTATACCCAGGCCTTCAGGTAGAGGCGCCTGTGGTCCACCCTTGCAGAAACCCACCCAATGCTTCCTGGGATAAGTCCTGTGTCTTCTTAGTTACTCCTCTGTTGGGGGGTGGGGCATGCTCTGGTCCCTTTTATCTGGGGGCCCAGAAAGGTTTTGGGTTGAAAGCAGCACCCGCAGGGGTCGATCCAGGCTGGATGCAGCCTGAAACTGCAGTATGGG